TCGCACCCCCTCAGCCCTTTCTAGTTCAGTCTCTTGCTGCCCTTTACCCTTTCACCATCCACTGCCCCGCTGTTATCCATAACCTATTACTCATCCATCTCCCTTTTGCCACCTGATGCCCTCGCTTCCTTCCTGCCCTGCAGCGCTGTATAGTCCTTGTGGCTTAGCGCTTCTTTTTTGATTATATAATAATAATAATAATAACTACAGCGTCTGGTAAACCATTCTATTAATCTACCACTTTGTCTTTATAGTATTATTTTGGTAGCCGTTCTTCCTTACTTGGTAACTATGGAGTCTTATGCCAAGTGATGGAGTTAAGTTGCCTTTGTCAAATCTTTCACAACATACTTTACTTTCATAATTTTAAATATGGTTTTTTCATGTCTCCTCTTTTCCTCCGGTCAGAAAAACATGACATGTCCAGTACTTTCTGCCTTCAGAAATACTGGACAAAATTCCACTGGTTCAACTGATTTACATATAATGAACAAAGTCCATTGCTTACAAAAGTGTCCGATATTTTTATGACAGCAGCAAAACATTCTCTTCTCTATCCTCCACATATGCAATTACAGTCCACCTGCAACTTCCTAATACTCCAGGAAATCGAAGTTTTGCTGTACAAACATGAGCCCAAAGCCAATTGAACAAGCAATCACTGCAACTGACTTACATTTGGTGCTTGAATCCATGGAGAATGGTCCCAGGGTCAGTGTCTGTAGTGAAGATGATGAAGACTGACTATCAAATGCTCTCATCAATGTTGACTGACCACAGTAATGTCCTGGGTCTATACACTGAAGAAAAAATGTGCACAAATGTTAGAATATAAAAAATTATGGAAAGATCATTAATAAACTTCATTGTTTTTAATAAAAATGAAATAACTGTATTGGCTAGCTTCACTGTTGAAGCTTGAGAAAAAATTATAATTTTTCTACATAAAATCATCCATGTATCATTCAACCAGTATGAGAGCTAAACAAGGTTGGATAGAGTAGCAGAGTACTGGACCTGTTAATGTTGGGACCATAGTTCAAGCCTCTCATCCATCTTCCTTTTTATTCATTGACAGAAATTTGGTATAACTTAATTTGAGTTTATTATATATTATAGTTGATAGGAGTGCAGGGCATTATCAAATATGGTATAATAATTTAGTGTCTTACGACTCTGGCAAAATTTTCATGTGTCTTTCATGTTAATACACATCAAATTGACAAGTTTATTACACAGATTTTAATAGTGTAAATATTATTACATTTTCAAAGCACAAAATAATGATGTAGCATACAGCATAGAGAAATTGTAATTTTGTGTATATGTATGTGTGTATTGCAAGATTTCAGGTACGTCTTGCTACTTCTACTTACACTTAGGTCACACTACACATACATATACAAGCATATATATACACACCCCTCTGGGTTTTCTTCTATTTTCTTTCTAGTTCTTATTCTTGTTTATTTCCTCTTATCTCCATGGGGAAGTGGAACAGAATTCTTCCTCCGTAAGCCATGCGTGTTGTAAGTGGCGACTAAAATGCCGGGAGCAAGGGCTAGTAACCTCTTCTGTATACATTACTAAATGTAAAAGGAGAAACTTTCGTTTTTCCTTCTGGGCCACCCCGCCTCGGTGGGATGTGGCCGGTGTGTTGAAAGAAGATGTATATATGTACGTGTGTGTGTGTGCATGTGTGCGTGTGCACATGTGTGCATGTGTGTGTGTGCGTGCGTGTGTGCATGCGTGCGTGTGTGTGCACGTGTGTGTGTGTGTGCACATGTGTGTGTGTGTGTGCACATGTGTGTGTGCATGTGCACGTGTGTGCATGTGCACGTGTGTGTGTGTGCATGTGCACATGTGTGTGTGTGTACTCACCTAGCTGAGGTTGCAGGGGTCGAGTCCAAGCTCCTGGCCCCACCTCTTCACTGGTGTGTGTGTGTAGGGGACACACTGAGTGTGTGTCGGTGAGATAATTTATGGCAGTTATCAGTTTGAGATGTGTTACAATTGGGGAATAAAGAATTTCATGAGAATTAATCCTAATATGTCATGATTAGACATTGAATTACGTCTAGGGAGTGTCCACTCGTGATAAAGAATCAACGACGGTGATCGTTGACGACTCCCAGAAGCTGATAACACAATAAGAAGACACCAGCTTGTTCCCACACTGTCACAAAACACTTCATAGTGGTGACTCACTGTCATGGTAAGATTGCTTAGTGTGTCAGATTGGCTACTTCTGCATGAGAAGTGTGAGGGTTGCATCATCATGTAAAACCTTAAGCCATGTGAGCCACAGAACACTGCAATCTTACTGTCCATTAAATATTCCTATGTACCAATAAACAAACTCACACAATCTGTTCATTCATATCTAAGCAGTTTTTACACCTGAGAATTAATGATCAGGATAGGAATTACCATGGTCAATAAAAAGGTCACTTTGAGGATCAGTGAAGAATACACAATGTGAGAACTTAAGGATAACTGAATCAGCATATTGCTTGACAATCAAACATTAAAACTGCATTGTATTTTGAGTCTTAGAAAATGTTAGTAAGTAAGTAAGTTTGTAAGTAAGTTTATTCAGGTATACACAAATACAGTTCATAGAATTATCATACATAACAGCATATGTGTAGAGAACCTAGGATAACCCAAAAAAGTCAGACAGAGTGACTTATTTCCATTGGGGTCCTTTTACCTTATTATTATAATATAAAAGTTATAATATTTTCTTATTATTCTACAATGAAGATAACATTATCATACTAAAAAGACTATCTACTACACGAGGGTCATTAAGACTATCTACAATATGAGGGTCATTACTAGGAATAAGGTAAAATTTACACGTATGTTAGCTAAAAAATAGAAAATCATTCCCCTCCCTGTCTGTAGCTACATTCATCAGACACCTTTTGGCACTCTTCTTGAACTGGTTCATGCTATGACTTGCTTTGACATGTGCGGGTAGTCTGTTCCATTCCTTTATTGCTGTACAATAAAAGGTGTTTGATGCCTGGCCACTGACTGTGGGTACTACAAACACCTGTGTGGTATTTCAAACACCTGATGCAGAAATGTTTTATTTCATTGTTGAGAGCCCATTTAAAATAGAGCATTATATTTTAGGAAAAAAGAATAGAATCACTGAAAGAATACTATGATAATTTTACAAAAAAATTATCAGTTTCACAAACGGAAACTATATAAATTTACCCGATTAACAGCTGGACGAGGGAGAGAATCAGCTGAACATACTCCAAGCTGACAGTGAAGATAAAAGTAGCCTAAGTAGGTGTACTCTGCAAGAACCTGTTGAAACAGAAAACAATTATGAAAGAGGAATTTCCTGTATTGTTTCTAATTATAGTATTCCTTATAAGAATGAACACAGTATTCAAACAGTCTTTAATATATTCTTTTTCAAATGATTTAATTCTTTATACCAGGGTTCCCCAACCTGCAGCCTGCGAGTCATATATGGCTCTTCTAGGAAATGGATGTGGCCCTCACATGAAATTATGAATTCACTTCTATGTAGGTTCCACACTATAGTGTCAACAAAACTGTGTGGCTATCATCACACATTTGACCATCAAGTACATAGGAAGGTCGAGGACCACGGCTGTATACCATCTCTTTGGGATTGGGGTAAAGCATACTATTTGTCTTGTGAAATCATAATAATGCAATTGCAAACAACTCCCAGAATGAGTGGAAATAGAATCCATGGCACACCAGTCCTGTGTGCCCTGCTAGTTCTAGGACTAGCTACCATGGGTTCAAACTCCACATGTTCTACAAGTTACACTCACATAGCTTCTTGCAAATTTCCTTCAACATTTTCCACTATGGAATCCACCATGTTCATCACTTACCAATTTTTCAATTATTTTTCAAACTAATTTACTATCCAGTAATTCACTAGTTACACACAATATCCCCATTATTTTAAACAAATAAAAAGAGTATTAAGGGATATGAGTAGATTTTTAATATTTTCTTACACTGGAATTGCTAAGTTGGGAGCCAACCTACAGTACATAGTGGAATACAGCATCAAACATTCACTAAGTTAAGGTGAGTACTGAGAATAAAATATAATATACATTACCTGAAAGCTGAAGCTGGATGTCTGACTGTGGAACAACATCGGCTCCAAACCCACTGAGGGGCGAAGAGGACACGACTTCCTCACCAGAGATTCACGAGGGGCACCGGGACGCCCTGGAGCTGAACTGTTGCTCAGCCAACAGTCCTCAAGCACAACTCGCAGGTCTGCATCATATGCCTCAGTCCATGGCATGACTGGGAGCATAAAAAAAATTAGTTTTACTAAGAGTGCATATGCACAAACAATTTGGAAATTAGAACATTATTCTAACATCATCTTTCTTTCAACAAACCGGCCATATCCCACCAAGGCAGGATGGCCCAAAAGAAAAAAACGAAAGTTCCTCCTTTTAAATTTAGTAATATATGCAGGAGAAGGGGTTATTAGCATTTTGCTTCCATCATTTCAGTCGCCTCTTATGACACGCATGGCTTACGGAGGTAGAATTCTGTTCCACATCCCCATGGAGATGAGTGGAAGTAAACAAGAACTAGTAAGAAAATAGAAGAAAGCCCAGAGGGTTATGTATACATGTGCTTGTACAACAGACCAGTCCAAAAATACATGTTAATTTTAAAACTTCAAAGGAAATGTGCTCCACAATGTAATTTTTATTCCACCATGTGAGCCTATACTGTGTGCCAAAACTTCAATCATTTCATGCATGTTTAAAGGTTGAGCAAAACTTCATCTTTGGTTTCTTTCTATCACAGATGGCATCCTCAGCACAAAGTACACGAAGTGCATTGGAACAGTGGTTAGTAGGGTGTCCCCTCGAGTTTTTCTCAACTGCCCGGCTTCCGAAGTGAGGTGACGTACTTTGCATGTCAATTCTTTCACCTGAAGCAGAACCTACTCTCACTTTTTGTTGCCTTCATCTACATTCGGTTCTGAAACGAGGATCCGCGTGGTGTACAAGCCCCTTGCAATGACTTGGACTTCCTCCAAACCCTTAGAGTGTATCCGGACAAAGAGATCACGAATGCTGCTGCTATCACCTTTGCATGCCATCTCTGCTATCTGGCGGAGCACCTGGTTGAATTGGCGTTCTTCAATGAGAAAGTGGACATTGAGACAATGTGCAAGATGGTGACCAACCTCAAGCAGGAAAAGAAACCACGGTGCCCCCATCGCTTGCAAGGTGTCCCAGAGATCGGAGTTGGACTGAAGGAGTTTGTGAGTAAGAGAATGCTGAAGATGTTTAACATCATTGCTGAGCATAGGAAGGGGAAGGAAAAATCTTCCTTCTAGAATGAAGACCCCGAAACGTGGGAGATGAACACAACATTCCTGGAAATAAAGAAGTCTTGTGGGATGTTTGAAGGTCGTGAATGATGCAGCAGAAAGAGCCGTTTCCTTAGTTCAGACCAACACGTCGCTGATCAAGGCCGAGGAGCAGAAACAGTACCCTCTTCACCTCATGGCAGATCGCCATTGCTGCTTCCCTGATTCTACAGGGAGAGACTAATGAATGAGGGTGATTGCTGAATTTTAGAGGGACAGATTGAAGTCCCACTTTATTTCATCATTCAAGTAGGCATGAGGAAGCATTATTATGAGTGAGTGAGCAGAGCAACGTCTTACTGGCAGTTGGTGTGACAAATGAGCGACCTGACACGGCCTGACCCAACCCGACACGACCAGATGCTTTTGAGAGGCAAATAACTTTTTACTATATAGGAGAGAGACCTAATTCCTTTTGAATCAGATAGTCTCATGAAATAAATTGTTATTAAACATTTGTTTCACTGAAATTCCATGGGAAGCCCCCAGAAAACCATGGTATTTGAGGGGATGTTTGGCCAAATTTCAATGTTTGTTCAACTTGAGAAGCGAATTGCGTGAGATTTTCTGTTGTGACACTTTACTGAATTCAAAAGAGAAAAGATGGGAGAATACAATTAAGAATTTGCATTAATGTTTTTTTCAACTTTTAGTGGGAGAAATCAGCTGGGGAAAATTCCCATTTTCAGTGATTTTTCAGTTGAATACATAATTCAGTGGTTGGCGAAGGTCGATCAAAACCAACGATTTCTCATCCAAGAATTCATGACAAGCACATGCTTTATTTAAACTGAGTGGTACCTCCTCTTCAATGCACATATACATGTACCTGCTTGCTCATTTCACGCTCAACAAAGTGCTAAAAACTGGATATTGATTCAGTCATTCTGCTTTCAGAGAACATAGGAGCTATGCTATGTGAAAGAGAAAAAAAATTAAAATTTCTTCAGTTTTTCTTCTGTTGGCGACAGATGCCTTTTTGCGCAACCCCCAAAACTGAATGAAATTTCCTGAAAATTGGTGTGAATGTTACTTAGGAACAGTGTAACAAAATAAAACTTGTGGAGCAAACAATTTCACAACTTTTATTTTTTTGGACCAGTCTATTGTACATGTATGTGTAGTGTAAGTAAAAGTAGCTAGATGTACCTGAAATCTTGCATGTTATTTTTTTTCAACAAACTAGCCATATCCCACTGAGGCAGGGTCACCTAAAAAGAAAAATGAAAGTTTCTCATTTTAACTTTAATAATGTATACAGGAGAAGGGGTTACTAGCCCCTCGCTCCCGGCATTTTAGTCACCTCTTATGACACGCATGGCTTACGGAGGAACAATTCCTTTCCACTTCCCCATGGAGATAAGAGGAAATAAACAAGAACAAGAACTAGTAATAAAATAAAAAACCAAGAGTGGTGTGTGTGTATGTATATGCTTGTATATGCTGTATATGCTTGTATATGCTGTGTAGTGTGACCTAAGTGAGGGTAACCCAAAAAAGAAAATACTTTCATCATCATTCAACACTTTCACCACACTCACACATTATCACTGTTTTTGCAGAGGTGCTCAGAATACAACAGTTTAGAAGCATACACATATAAAGATACACAACATATCCCTCCAAACTGCCAATATCCCAAACCCCTCCTTT